TGGTCTGGATTTACCTAAGGTGGTCCACCATTTCTTTGGGTAAAGGCCTTTGGAACTGAATATCTACTTCTGCCAAAGAAGTCTTACTCTGTAAAACAATTAGAGAAAGAGATGCTAAACTTTTGCCTAGACTCTTACCAAGAGAAAAAGTTGTGAAATGATGAATAACTTTCTGTAGGAGACTCTGGTTGTTCGGCAAATCACTTAAACTCTTTGGGCCTAGTTTTTACATCTAGGTCAAGAACTAGTAGCTTTCTTGAGAGTTCACTCATTCAATCAACAAAGGTTTGTTGAGCACCTACTATGTACTTGACTGCATGTTCAATCCTGGATTTTGGATAATATAGGGAAAATGCTTAGCACAGCTGCAAGTACTTAGTGTGCCTTTCAATGATGGTTATTTTTTATTTTATTTTATTTTTTTTAGATTTTGAGTGCTTGTTGCCAGAGAAAATAACACATTATTTAGGGCCCTATTTTCTGGCCTTAACTCTCATTTCAGCAGTAAACTATCCACATACTTTTCAGAAGAGCTAGGAGAAAGGTAGGGGCTGAGGCAGGTGAGGAAGAAAATATAAGCCTCAGCCACTGCTTCCAAGCAGAGGGCTTTGCAGAGAGCCCCAAAAGGCAGCAGTGCAGGCCTCTGTAATGGCACAGCTGTAGTTACTGGTATGCCAAGGAGAGAGAGAGCAATCTGGTATGTGTCACGTAATGTTGCAAATAGGCATGTAGCTAGGCTGATTTCAGTGTTAAAAGCAAATTTAGGCTAAATTTAAGTCAACCTACTATGGTATGGTATTACCTTTAGTGATTCTATGTTTGAATCTGATTATGATTTATTGGATGTAGGATATTTGGCAGATGGAGATGCAAGGGAGTGGGGTGGTTTTCACTGGTAAGCAGTCAGCCCAGACTTCTAAGGATAGTGTGAGGGCCTTAAAACCATGGATGACCCATCCAAAGTCTCATGTTTGTTGAGAACTCCCATTAGAGAAGACAAACCCATTGGGTAAGGAGGCCCCTGAATGCTGTTTTCTACACAGAGTGGCTTTGGGCAGATACTGGAGTTAACTGTTAGAGGATGTGTGTACAGACTCTGCTTCTACCACTTTCTCATCCAACAAACTTCAAGTCTCAGCTTCCCTAGCCATAAAATAGGATTGATAAAACCTAAGTCACATGGTTATTGTGAGGACCAAATGAGATGATGTAAATATGAAGGAACATTGTTAATAATCATGTTAAAACTATAGTTCCCATTTATATTATCATTATTGTTATTAATAAAACTTTCAATCCAGTTAAGAAGTAAAACTTTCCAATTTCCTTCACAAGTAAACCAAAACTATGTCACATTACAGGCTCCTTTTTTTTTCCTATTACCTATTTGAAGATTAATAATAAACAATAGCAAATATTACGTATGTGTGTGTTTGCCTTTGTCTGTGTATGTCTGACAATGTCTTCTATGTAACCATTTTTCAGATTTAGTGATAAACCACTAAATTGGCCTAATGAGACCTTTCTTAAGAAAACTGAAAAGAGTAAACATAGAAACTAGGGGAGGGGAGGAATTAGAATTCTTTGTTCAAACAGTTCTTAGAGTTGGATACTGAGTTTATCTTGATGTTATGTATGTTGGGAACCCGTGCGAGTTCCGTGGGTTTATGCAGAATTTATTTTTATTTTTATTTTTAAAGATGTAAGTTACAATTCAGGATTAGGTATACAGATGGTCATTGTACAGGTAAAGTGTGGACCTCACTTTGGTTCCCACACCACCTGGTTTGAGATCAAGTACCCTTATGAAGTATGCCTCCTCCCCCACCCCACCCCTGGCAATTTCCCACTACTGCCAGTCCCTTATAGTATTATCATAATTGTTCAGGGTTCTCTTATGAGTGAGAATATGTGATACTCAGGTCTTTGTTTCTGTGATAGAACACTGAGTATTAAGACTCTAAATCCATTCAAGTTGCTGCGACATTCATAATTTTGCCCTTCTTTATGACTACGTAATAATCCATCATATATATATGTCCCATATTTTTTTAATCCAGTCTACTTTCGATAGGCAGCACAGTTGGTTCCATGATCTTGCTATTGTGAATAGTGCTGCAATAAACATGCATGCGCAGGTATCTTTTTTGTAGAATGATTTTAGTTTCTCCAGGTATATTCCCAGAAAGGGGACTTGCTGGGTCATATGGGAGGTCAATTTTTAGATCTTTTAGAAATCACCACACTGTTTTCCACAGAGGTTGTACTAGTTTACACTCCCACCAACAGTGTAGAAATGTTTCCTTTTCGCTGCATCCTCTCCAGCTTCTATTGTTTTTTGAGTTATTGATGATGGCCATCCTGACTGGAGCTAGGTGGTATCTCAGTGTTGTTTTAATTTGCATTTCTTTGATGACTAATGAGGCTGAGCATTTTTTCATTTATCTGTTGGCTACCCGAATGTCTTCTTTTGAGAAGTGTCTTTTCATATCTTTTGCCCACTTTTAATAGGGCTGCTTGTTATTTTTCTTTTTGGCATGTTTGAGTCCCTTGTAGATCCTAGATGTTAGGCCTTTGTCAGATATACAGTAGGCAAATATTTTTTCCCATTCTGTGGATGGTCTCCCTGCTCTCTTTGTGGTTTCTTTGGTTTTGCAGAAGCTTTGTGGTTTGATGAGGTCCCACTTGTCTATTTTATCTCTTATGTCATGAGCACTTGGGGTTTTGATTGGGAATTGGTTGCCAGTTCCAATTTCCATAAGGGTGTCTCCTGCGTCTTCTAAGGTTTTATAGTTTGAGGTTTTATGTTTAGGTCTTTAATCCATTTGGAGTGGATTTTTGTGAATTGAATGGTGATAGGTAGGGGTCTTGTTTTAATCTTCTATGCAGAATTTATTTGCTTACTCTGATTAAATAACCATGTATGCTGTAGTCATTTTGGCATCAGCAAATTAGCCAGAATAAAGTTAGCATTCTAGCGACAGTATTAGAAGAATCCAAAGAGGTGAACATGAATTATCACTTCTACTTGGATTAAAATTGAGAAAAAGTGATGAAACTCAGGGCAGGCATTTTCACAATGAGCATTTTCCCACTCAGCAGCTTATCTTGTCTGAAGTCTTTTTTGCGTTCCTTCCAACAGTTGTATGTTGGGTGCAAGTAGAAACTCTTGGTACAACACATTGCATTTATATCTAAAGTTAGATTTGAAAAATTTTGTTCAGCTGTTTTCACTCAGATATTCTACTCACACACTAAAATAAATATATTCTGAAACTCCCTTCTGTAACTATAGAAACACTGATCTTCACTGTATTTCAGCTGAGAACACAAAAGAGCTCTCAGTTAGAAAGGAGTATGCTGTTAATTATTGATCTATGAATAGCTTAGACTTCTTAAGCCATTAAGTTTCTGGAGCTTCAGATTTTTTTCTTTCTCTTTATTCTTTCCCCATTTTTGAAATTAAAGGTAGCCATATTTAAACAAAAATTTGTTTTAAAACAACACAATGAATATTATTCTAGTGCAATAATTATTTATTTAGGACTTGCTATGCCACACTATAGAGAAGTATGTGGGCTTTATCCTCAAGGAATATACAACCTTGTACATACAACATAAGAATAAACACAAGGAAATCAAGAGATAATGTCACCACAGAGATACAAATAAATGCTATTATGGCTTAACCAAAGAAATGATCTTATCTAACTAGGTGCTCAGAAAAATTTTAGAGTCTTCTTTTCCTTTTTCAGCCTCAGTCTTCAAAAAGGCACAAGTCTTACCAATTTTATTTTCCTACTATTTCTCAACCCCTTCCCTCTCCTCCACCCTGTTTTTATTTCTCATCATTTTTTGCCTGGGTTATGGCGACAGCCTCCTCCTGTCCCTTCCCTTCTCCAGTCCAAATTCTACCTTCACCAGGGTCATTTATTCAAAATGGTAATCTACTTCCATCACTTTCCTGCCTTATGTTCTCTAATAACTCATGGGGATTGCCCAAGGAAGAAAGTCAAGCCCGTAGTGTTGATGGATACCCTTTATATGTGACTTATCACCTTGCCAGTCTTGACTTCCCATCATGTACGTATACCATACTAGAATCTTCCTGCAATCTTCCAGCTTGCTCATTTCCTGGGTCAAGGCACATGCTGTTCCTCCAGTAGGAATTCCTCCTGAAATTTTCCTACTGACAAGCTCTTTCTCATCTTTCAGACCTCAGATAGATTGACACCTCCTCTAAGAACCTCACCCAAATGCTTTCTACCCTTCCATCTTATCCTCCCAGTCAGATAGGTGCTTCCACGTCTTATCAGTGTTATCAGCCTCTGTTGATGTCTCTGTTCTTGCCAAGAGCACATTACTGTGAACTCACTGCAGTCAGGCTTTTAGATTTATTTTCTTTTTCCCCCAGCTCCTTGCTTAGTACATGTTAGGCACTCAGTAAGTGTTTAATAAGTGAGTGAAGTGACAGGAAAACTTGTAAATCTGCAGAAATGACAGGAGAAAGGCATTGGGGAAAAGGAAAAATCCAATATTATATGTAACATGTTTGGTTAATAAGTGATGCTAAATATACTAGTGTTCTTAGGGGGAAGGGAAAGAAAAAGAAGAAAAGAGGTCGAGAGAAGCAAGAAGAGAGGGAAGGGAAAGCTTATTTAGTCTGCAGTTTAGGTGTTCATCCTTATGGGCTGTGGTGTCATGAAATAGATTGTGATTTATTGATTTAAGCACTTAATTATACTGTTTTTTCTCCCACTGTGATCTTTCCAAATACTGTGACTCCCAATACATGTAACACAGAAATTTCAAGCATCCTGTTAGGGGCTTACAGACTTTATACCAATATTTTTAAATATAGAACAAAGGAAGAGAAATAATTCAGAACACATTTTGTGTGAGCTATAAGGATAGGAGGAAAAGATGTTCATCACTTAATAAGGAATTGAGTCGTAAATGCCTTGGCATATGATAGACTCTTTATTTCTCATTTGCTTTAGGGTGGAAAGAAAGGAGCGTGCTCGATTGAAGACAGTGAAGTTTAATGCCAAACCTGGAGTGATTGATTCAAAAGGGGTAGGTACAAAGTGATGGAAATATGAAGTTCTCTCAGTTGCCACGGATTTAACTATAATTAACATTTAGGTTTCAGTAGCAAACAAATTATATAGCTACCAGATAGTAAAGCACAGCTGTAATGTATTTCTAAAGTTGACAATTACATTTCTGATGAAATGGATTTATGGCAAATATTTTAAATATGGGGGGCAAAGCTGCAAGTGGTCAGTGGAAGTAATGTGTTGATGATGATGATGATGTAATGACTGCAATGATGCAGAAAAAAGACAATTTAGATGTTTTATTTCTTTAATTTTTTAAATTTTAAATTCATGTGCTTAAAGGATGGATTTTATAAAAGGTTTCTGCTTATCAGAAAGTATATCTAGTCTGTTACAAATTATAAAGCTAAGACAGTCATGGAAATACACACATGGATTATCTAAGTGAATACATGGATTGTTGTGACAGACATAAAAAAGAAGAAAATTAACAAATAAAATTTAGTCATCAAAATTAAAATATTCACTCACAGGTATTCTTTTTAAAATAATGATTTTAAAAGATAATATGATATAAAATTCACATTCCAAATCATTCACCTATCTAAAGTATGCAATCCGGTGGTTTTTGGTATATTTAATGTTCCAGAACATTCTATCACCCCATAAAGAAATCCTTTATGCATTAGCAGTCACTCCCCATTTCCCCCAGCCACCACCTCCATCCAGCCATAGGCAACCACTAATCTACTTTTAGTCTCTATAGATTTGCCTATTCTGGATATTTCATATAAATGAAATTTTATACTACATTGTCTTTTATGACTGCTTCTTTCACTTGCATAATGCTTTCAAGATGCATCTATGTTGTAGTGTGTATTAGTACTTCATTTCTTTTTATTGCCAAATAATATCTCATTGTACAGATATACCACATTAATTTATTCATTCATAAATGATGAATATTTGGGTTGTTTCAAATTTTTAGTTATTATGGATAATGCTGCTATGAACATTTATGTACACATTTCTAAGGGGATATATGTTTTTATTTCCATTGGGTATATACCTATGAGTGGAATTGTTAGGCCATACGGTAACTCTAGGTTTAACATTTTGAGGAACTGCCAGACTATTTTCCAAAGTGGTTGTACCATCTTACATTTCCACAGCAGTGTATGAAGGTTCCAGTTGCTCCACATTTGCATCAAAACTTATTCTATGTCTTTCTATGTCTTTCTGATTATAGCCATTTAGTTGGTATGACGTAATATCTCATTGTGGTTTTGATTTTCATTTCCCTAATGACTGTTGTTACTGAGCGTCTTTTCATGTAACTTATTGGCCACTTGTATATATTGGAGAAATATTTATTCAGATCCTTTACTCATTTGAAATTGGGTTTGTTTTTTTTTTATTGTTGAGCTATAGATGTTCTTTATACATTCAGGTTATTAATTCTTTATCATATATACTCTTTACAATATTTTTTCCATTCTCTGGGTTGTCTTTTTCACTCTCTTGATAGTGTCCTTTGATACAACAGTTTGGTGAAGTCCCATTCATGTATTTTTCTTTTGTTACTTATGTTTTTGGTGTCATATCTAAAAAACCATTGCTAACCCCAAAGCATGAATATTTATATCATTTTTTTCTAAGAGATTTACAGTTTTATCTCATACATTTAGGTGTTTGATCCATGTTGAGTTAGTTTTTGTATATTGTATGAGGTAGGGTTCCAGTTTCATTCTTTTACATGTGAATTGTCTTACTTTCATTTTTGGATTGTTCATTGTAAATGTATAGAAATATAATTATTTTGTATATCAATCTTATATCCTGCAACCTTGCTAAACCCATCGTTTTTCAGTGATTCCTTGGGGTTTTCTATTACAAGATCATTTCATGCACAAAGAGAGGGTTTTATTTCTCTCTTTTCAATAGGGATGATTTATTTTTCTTGTCTAATTACCCCAGCTAAAACCTCTGGAACAATGATGAATAGAAGTGACAGCAGCCAACCTTGTCTTACTCCTGACCTTAGAGGAATGCAGTCAATCTTTCACCATGAAGTATGATGTTAGCTGTGACTTATATAGGTTTTTAAATCTATTGGGCAGCCCAGTCATTGATATAATAGTTTACTTTCCCCCAAACATTTGAGTTACATGAAAATGCACTTAAACATACGGTATTGTTCTAAAAAAAAAAAAAAAAAAAAAGTAAAGGTATGTGACATCATGGCATAAAGTTCTTTCAAACAAATACTATTTATATATCAGGATTTTTTTATGCTTCATGTTGAAAATTTAAGGCTAGATCTCCTGTTTTTTATATACGTGTGTGTGTGTGTGTGTGTGTGTGTGTGTGTGTGTATGTATGTATACACACACACACATATAGTTGTGTAGATCTGAGACAGTTATTATTGAAAACCTACAGTACCAGACACAGGGCTAGGACTTGTGAAGGATACTTCCCTGAGAGGTGAGAGGTTCTGACATCAATGGGAGAACAAATGTCTTTTAGGTAAGGCTAAAATATGTGTGGTGTGCTTTTTAATCATACATACTAAACACCATTAGGTATCTAGCAATGAATGGAATGTAAACTCTATGATTTGTGTGTTGTAGGAGAGGAGTAATCAACTGAGAAGGGAAGCTCTGAACTGAAAGTCAGGAAGCTCAGTAACCTTGGATTTGGTTTCAGTTCTCACTAAATTGCCATTGATCTTTGGTTCTTAATAGCAAAATAAAAGCTTTAAACTACACCAGAGATGTCCAACAGTCTTTATCTCCTTTGTAGACTAATGGATTAGTAGTTTCTACCTGGTGTATTGTTTTGAAAAAGATTCTGAGGCCGTAGAAGGGTATAAAAGTGTCATGACTGAGTCATCTCTAGCACAACATAGGCAATTATTCTCTATTTGCAGTCCTTGGATTCAGTGATTTTTAAGGAGCCTTCTTTTAGCATTCCATGAGATTTATTCATGCACTAACTGGTAATAAACCAAAGTTTTAAAAATTCCTGTGCAAAAATATGTCAATGAGAGGACTTATCCAGAAGTAGGAAGCAAAGGACAATTAAAAAGAGAGAAAATGCTAGTTAACAATGAAAAAAAGAAGAGCGAGATTAACCATACGGAGAGGTGGAAAGCTTGGTTAGCAGATGCCACTCACTTTGAGCTAAGGGCAAGGACAACAGAGGTAAGTTATTGATGCAGAGGTTTCAGTCTCTGGAAACTTAGGGTAAATTCGGCATAAACTAAGGAGAAAATTGTCTTGAATGAGAAGGAGAATGGAGAACTTTAAATAATCTTATCATTGGCATTTACAGAGCATTGTGAAATGTCCCAAGGAGTTCAGAGTGAAAGCCAAGGTTACTGCCCTGGAGGAGCTTAGAATCAATTAGTAGCTATGAATATAGGTTGTGACAGGAGCCCTATTAGTAGTATGTACAAGAGCAATAAGAATTTAAATTAATGGTCACAGGCATGAGCAGAGAGCACTTCATAGAAATGAACTGTTAGTACTTGAGTTACTTTTCCAGAACTGTTCTTTGACCAGAATAATAATCAGAATAATGTAGGCACTGTGCTAGATAGGTGTCTTTGTAGTATAGTGAAACAAATTAAAGGGATAAGATTTTTCATCTCAATGAACTAAAAAAAAAAGAAATATAGGCAGGCAAACAATAATTATAATTGATAATCCTTATAAATTTGGGAAATTAACAGTCTTTGTTTTAAAAATCTGAAGACTGAGGCCCAGGAAGATTAACTGACTTGTTAATAGGTGTAGTAGGTGTGAGCATCAGATTTAATTGGTTAGTAGTTGTGAGCATCAAATTTAAATCTAGATCATTTTAATGAAATGAGGCATATTCATAGTGGTATGACTGTAAGTAAATCTATATCATTTTGACATCAGAATTTTTGCCCTTCTCCTTACTTCACATATATCTGATTCTGTTGGAGTTCAGAGGAAAAATATTATTAATTATGTCTTAGGTAAGAGGAAAAACTTCAAAGAGGTGAGAGTTGAATGGGATTTTGAAGTTTGAATAGGAGTTTGCCACACTCAGAGCAAAAAGCATGAACATGATAGTGGAAATTGCAGGCATGTTAGAGGAGGGTCAAGCAAGTCATGGAAACCTGTGCATGAAGGTTGTGGTGGGAATTGTATCAAATGGGGCTGACAAGGAAGGTCAGAAAACTTGTATGGCAGGCCTGGCTTAAGGGTTGTATTATATTGCATTTTCAAAGTACCCATGAAGCAATCTGAGGGTCTTTATTTGAAAGTGTCCATTTGTTACCAATGAAATGCCCAAGCCTTCCATCCATTCCATATGCCTTCCCAGACTGTATCTACACATGCAGAAATACATGGACTATTGTGTAACCCTAACCCTAACCCTAAGCCTAATTGCACCCTACTCAGATCTCTAAGCTTCAGCCATCTGTTTTGGTGAATCAGCTCGAGAGCCAACTCAGTTCCCCAGATCTCAGTGCAACCAAGCTCTTCTGGGATTGTTAGTTGGGTTCTTAATGAATCTCTATTTAAACCAGCCTCCAGTGAAAAAAATCAACCCTTAATAATTTCTTTCATTGTTCATCTAAAAATTTTTTCATCAATTTCATTATTAAACAGTCATTCTGTTACTTATTGAGAGGTTTAGAAAGTTTCATAATTTTCAGAATCAAGCTGTTTGTCATTGAAAAATTAATGACTATATATTGATTTATACTAAACTTTGTTTTTTTCATTTTAAGTCCCTGTAATTTGAAGAAGGGAAGTATATGTAGTGAGAGTATAAAGAGAGCTATCAGTATCTTTGCTACATGTCAGCAATGTGCAATATATGTGTTTCCTTTATACTGTAAATCCACTTTAAATTATGTAGAATATAAATAAATAACTAGTCCTACTTATCCTCAGGTTGGGACATAACAGAGATGATATTTGTCATTTGAAGTAGTAGAAGTATCTTATAAAAAACCCAGGCACTTTGCATACA